CACCTTTAGACGACCCAAACTCTTCATCACGTATGAGCAGTGTCGTCCCCAACAACCAATATTATCCAATTTCTATGAAAATGGAAGAGAACCAGACAAAAACGTGTTGTCTTATCATCTTTGCCCTATTCTTGTTAACACAAGAATGTGCAAAGAGGGGCAGCTGTAGACACCCGTTTTTGTCCGGGTTTTTGTATATATTATTATCGTTATTTTAATTATTATTATTAGCATTATTATTATTATTTAACTTACAATTTACATATTACACTGTTTTGCAGGCCAACCCATGCCCAACAAACGAAGCCCAATTGACCCGAGCCCATACCCATCACTCAGCAGCCCGATTGCAAACCCTAACCTTAGGGTATCAACATCCCAGCGCCGCACCAACATAGACCATTCGATCTGGACCCATTCAACGGTCCAGATCGATGGTAAATAGGGTTTCACAACCCAAAGCCAATCCAGCCGTCGTGCCTCTTCAACGTTCCAGTAGCCGTTCAAGCCAACAGCCATCAAGCCACTGCCGCCAGTGAGTTCCAGTTTCCCAGTCGACGAGCCATCGTCGAAAGCTTCCCGAGCCGATCAGAGCCCATCCCTCAAGCGGTCAACAGTGACAACATACCAAATCAATCAGCAAATCAGAGAAAAAAACCCAATAAAAAAACAAAAATAAATCTAAATAAAAAATCCCTATAATCCCGAAAATCCGGGATTCAATCACCCTAAATCAACAACCCATAATTTCCCTAAGCCTTAGGTACCATTATCACCGAAAGAACCCTTAAAAAATCCAACAGGCAACCATTATGAGGGGAGAGGATTCGGTGAGAGCAACAGAGGGGAGAACGAAAAGAAAAATACAGAGAGAGCTTCGGGTGGGGGGCTCGAAACAAAGGAAAGCTCGAGAGAAAATAGAGATAGAGTGAGAGGCTTACCTTGGATTCGGTCCGGCCGTTGATTGCTTCACCGGAGCAGAGGACTTTGTGGTCAAAGGGGACCCTTTCGTTTATTCTGCGTCCCGTGGCCACCGGTTCACGGTGGTCGGGACTCTGGGCCGCCTCGTGCGATGAAGAAGCTGGGAGAGCTCTCCCCTGAATGCTTCGGTATTACTGCTGAGGGAGAGAATGAAACCAAATGGGAATAGGGTTTTCTAAACCCTAAAACAAGGCTTATAACTTGTTTCCAACACGCCACCGTTTCAAGGGTCTGGGTACCCGTGTTTTGCAAGCATGGGGTAACTACAGTTTAGGTCCCTTCTCCTTTGTAATGCTTTATTTAAGTCATTTAATGAAATTATTATTGTTTTACTTCGAGCCTTTTAGTTTTTAATGATTGCATTTCAGTCATTAATTTGTATATTATGTTTGCTGATATTATAATTCGGTTGTGATATTTATATTTATTTCGTTTTAGTCACTGTTGCAGTTTATTGGGCATTTTCCTTTGATATTCGGATTTGGTCCTGAAATTTGCAAATGTTATATATTAGTCCCTGTTCATGTTTTATATCATATTTGTCTATATTTGATTCTAGATTTAATATTTTCAAATATTTTAATTTAATCACTGATCCCATGCATTTTTATTATCTTTACTGTTATTTGAATTTGGTCATCATATTCGTATATTCTATTTTAGTCATTGTTTGATGTTTGGTTTAATGTCTATTTTGTTTTCTTTTGTTTTGGGCATCTATGTTTCCTTTTTATATTTTAGTCCTACTAATGTATGTTATGTCATTTTTGTGGATATTTGACTTTGGTCCCAATGTTTGTAATAGTTTCATTTTAGCCCCTGAGTTTATATGTTATGTATTTTGGCTGAGTTTCGAATTTATCTCTGACATTTATAAATATTATATTTTAGTCACTAATCTTAGGTGTTGTGTATTTTCTTTGATATTCAAATTTGGCTATGATAATTATAAGTCTATTATCTTAGTCATTGTTTTACTTTTGGTTTAATTATGATTCGGCCTTCATGTTTATATTTTAATGCAATCTAGTCCTAAGTATTATTTATGGGTTATTTATTTTCTGGTTCATGTATTATTTAATGTTTGCTATCTGGGCTCTTCTTTATTTATAATTATTGTTTAGCTTTTTAAGTTTCTATTATTTTCATCTTGGTCCCTAATCTTATTTGTGTATGATTTGCATACTGTTTAATATTTTGTTCTTGGCCCTGGATTATTTGTTTTATTTGTTATTTATTCCTTTAGGTTTTTATTATTTTATTTTGGTACCTTAAAATCAAATGTGATTATTTATATTTGTGTTTAGATCTGTAATATTTTATTTTATTCATTTAGGTATGATTTTATTGTACTTGTTATTCGGTTATTTGTATTATGTAAATAATGTTTTTAGTAATGTGAATATTTTATTTTGTATTTCCAATTACATTTATTTTCATTATATTTTATCTATGTATGAAATATTCGATTATATTTTCAAGAACACGTATGCGTAGAATGGGCGTGGAAAGTACCACTTGATCGAAGTGGTGTGATCCGGTACGGCATTTTAACGACATAGAAACTTGAAATAAGTCGAGTATATTTTGCTAATTAATTTGTTCAAACGATGCAATGTGTGTTATTTTAAGTGACAATTTATTTTATTTTATGTGAATGTAAATTTCAAATTTTTTTAATTTGTATTCAATTCACGTTTTTAGTTAATCAATTTACTCGTATGTAAACATCGCTTTTAGTTATATTTGATTCGCAATTTTTTTACATAATCAATGGTAGAATATTCTTTTACGAATGAGAAATGGTTGAAATAGCTTTCCCGACGGAGGATTGCAAATTTCAAGATTTCTGATTGAGTTAAAGGATTTTCTTTAAATAATTCGAGGCAAATTAAATAAATCTCAATAAATGGATAATAAATTAACTTTATATTCGATTTGTAACTTCCACCATTTATGACGATGTGTAAGCGACACAGTACCAATTTTGGGCGTTGTGGGGGTGTATAGCCTTCCCCACACGTAACCGACTCCCGAATCCATTTTAATTGAATCTTTGGTAAATGCAGACTATTTTTGTCTTAAAAATGATTTTTCTTAAAATTGTTTTAAAAGACGTCTTTAGGTATTCGACTTACCTAACCCAAAGGTTGATGGCGACTCTGTTCAATTTAATTCAAATTAATTTCAAATCACCAATTTTCTAATTTAAAGTCATAATCGTTTTTAAAATAATATATAATTGTTTTATAAAAAAATGGTTATTACAATATTAATATATATATATATATATAATTAAATCATGATTTCGTAATTGAAATATATACGTGTATACATATATATATATATATATGGGTTGAAGTTGAGGTAGCCAAAGTGGAGGGAAAGGAGAAGAGACCAGTAATTGTGGAGGCAGCGAAGCGACGGGAAGTATCGGTTTTGGTGTTAGGGCAAAGAGATCGGTGATATGGCGTTTAATAAGGAGGAGATGGGGAGCAAACAAAGGCGGCAGTAGCAGTGGCAGCAGCAGAGTTGTGGATTATTGCATACAAAAATGTAAAATAAGGTATATAATGAGTATTATTGTAATTATCCATACATATATATAAGGGATAATAATATTATTAGATTAAATTAGAGATTTTCACTTTAAACCTGATCCCGACCTAATATAATCGAGTCGAGTCAGAAGCTGTCGAGTCTGGATCTTATGTCCATCACCAATTAGATTTTGTGAATAAAATAAACCGCATAAATATGATCGATTAATTTGTATCACGAATCGTAAAAATTTATTATAAGTAAATTATAATAATAATAATTTACTTATAATAAATTTTTACGATTCTTGATACAAATTAATCGATCAATATGTATATATAATTATTAAAAAATACATAAGACAACCTAATAAAGTTGTCAAGCTAGAAAATTTGGACTGAAAATACTATCGACGCCAATGATTGGAATAAAATTTAAGAAACGAAAAAGTAGGAGGACCTATATTTTTAAGTTTTTTTAGTGTAAATCTCAAACTTTATCAGTGATATATACTAATAGCATAATTTAACTAAATTCAAAACGTCTCATTTATCATAGAACAATAAAAACGTTATAAATTGTTAAGTTACGTATTAACGTTTTTATTTATTGGTTTTTTTAATTAAGATTAAATTTATAAAATATATAAATTTTAAAAATTAAATTTGTCGTTATATTAATTATATTAAACATATATATCAACTTTATAATGTAATGATATATTTATAATATTTTTTCCGGATAATTCGGATTTTATTACCCAAATAACAGAGTTCTGCTACAAAATCAATCACCAACAAAACCCTATGAACAATCTACTTACGAAATCAATTGATCGATTAGACTATACCCCATACATTACAAATATTAAAATTAGCACTATCTAGTCTATTAATATTTTTCCCCCTCAATTGGATTCCTACAAATATCTTTTATAACTTTGAGTATATCTTCAACTGTTCTGTAATAATATTGAAACATTCTTCGATTTCTTTCCTCCACAAAGTATAGATATAAGCTGAGTAATCTTTAAAATAGTTGTGAGAAGTGACTTACATTTTCATGCTCTACATACCCATAAAATCATATCCTCTCATGACAAGGAGAATGTCCTCAACCCGTTAAGGAGCGAAATAGATTCTCAAAGAGAAACAACCAAGGAGCAATGAATGAACAAATGGTCCTTGTCTCCAACGCTTTGCTGCAATTAGTACAATAAATATTTGATTTGAGGTATTTTATTTTTAATTTAAGAGTCAAATATGTGATTAAACCTATTATATAAATAAATAAGATAAAAAAATGAAAAAAATAAATAAAACGCAAGCTTATCACATGGTCTAATTTGCTGGTCCCGTCTCTCTTATCTTTCCTATATCTATTAACCAAAATATTAAACCAATAAAAACCCGAAAAATATATATTTTAAAAAAAGCCTTCCTCTCTGCCTCTGGTTAAAGTCTTCAACTTTAACTGTTCATGCAAACACAAAGAAAGCCCAGATCCCATTACCGTCAGTTCTTAGGCCTTTGATTCGCATCAAAAAGCAATCCCTACAGTGTTTTTTGTTGTCTGTTTGTATTGTTTGTTCTGAGCTTTCGTATATTGTAAAAAAAAGTGTGCCGGAGTGATTGTATATAAAAAAAATTTATTTGAAATTCTCGTTTATGATCGAATCTGAAGAAAAGGGTATTTGAGATATCTCGATTTGGTGGTAGAATTGTGGAAGGTATTTGGGTTGTAAGATGCGGCGGCGGGCCACCGATTACCGGCGCCCGGTTCGAAGGAGGTTTTCGCATTGGATCTATGCGTTGCTTGGGCTGTTCGTTGTCGCTGTATTGGTTTTATTTGTAGTTCATCACAATCATAATGAAGATCGGGTGGAGCATCCTGTTCATGTAAGAACATAAGCAACCCATATCTCCAATTTTGATCCTTTTTTTTAATGTTTTTTTTAATTATCTGTTTTTATGTATCTGTGGGTTTAGATTCTTATTGTATAATTCAATACTTGTTCATAGGATTTAAAAGCATGAGGATGAATACAAAGTTCTTCATTTTAGTATTCTTTTTGCTGTTTATGTGTTTATAAGAATGAAATGATCCCTATTACCGTTGATAGCAAAATCCGAGCTATTTGTTTAAACCCAGAAATCAATTCAATTCACATCTCGAGACTACACTAAGACCAAAACCATGAGTGTCACTAGGAAACCAGCCTTCAACCCTGCAGCATTGCTTGTATAGACACTGTTGCAGGTCGCTAGACCTCCTCCGGAATAGGTGCTCGGTATCGTACTATATTTAATCTAGTCAGGGGTTGTCTACTTGGAATAAACAATCACCAGGCAACTAAATCATTTTTAATGAGATTACGATATGCTGCTTAGCCAGCCTTGTTTAGGGCCAGATTTAACAAGAGTTGACAGTAGTTGTGTTGAATACTTTCGATGTTGAATAAATTATAAATTTGATGTTCTTAAGAATTTATTATGGAGATGAATATATAATAAATGCTGGAACTGTCTAAAAGTAATAATCTTATAACGATAAGGCATTTTCATTGAATCTAGTATTGTTATACGATTTATAGATGATATAGGCACATGGATTTCGCGATCTCGGTTTATGGAATTCCTATGGTAACTCAAAATAGGGTGCAAATGCAAGGTATTAACTTGGATGGAGAAACGTCTTTTTACTGTTCACAACCATGTATACATGCAGCTACTAATTAGCTACATATGGAAACCATTATCTAACATTTCTCTACGACTTATGTTACTATGCCAGCAATAAGATAGTGACTGTTTATTACTTCAAAGTTCCGTGTTTTCCACCATCTTCAATAATCTGTCATTACTTTGATGTCATGACTACCAGCAATTCTCCAACCCAATATGACAACTTAGATTGCTTTTTCACTTCTAGTTTCCTGATTAAGAACACCGTGGTAGGATGTTCTTCTGATTGATCAACGGGAATGCTATTTGAAGAACACAGCTGAAAGTGAAAACCGATAAGTACTTGGTATAATAGTAAATAAATTTGTGCCTGAAATTGCCTTGATCACTCTTTAAGATAGAAGGAAGAAAGAGATGGAATATCAGTGTCTTCTATGCAACTTTGTGCTATATGCTTTTATGTAGTTTTCCGCTTGTCTTTTTTTATCTTCCATCTACTGATCTACTTATCTTAAGTATTTGAAGGTTAACTGAATCATTGTACTTTATAGCCATTTTCTTTTAACATGATTATTGTATGACTTGCTTATCTATGGCATTCGCCTTGACAGGAGGAAGATTCAAGAATGGAGCGGGATGTTCATGAGAAGTTAAACTTTACCGAAGAAATATTGAGTGCTACGTCATTGTCTCGGCAGTTGGCAGAACAAATGACACTTGCCAAAGCTTATGTCATAATTGCAAAAGAGCACAATAACTTCTACCTTGCCTGGGAGCTAACCTCGATGATTCGGAGTTGCCAGCTTTTGCTTTCAAAAGCTGCAATGAGAGGGAGGCCCATTACACTAGAGGAAGCAGAGCCGATAATTAGCCGTCTATCGTCTCTAATATATAAGGCACAAGATGCTCATTATGACATTGCAACTACGATAGTGACAATGAAATCTCATATTCAAGCCCTTGAAGAACGAGCCAATGCTGCAACTGCTCAGAGTACGGTTTTTGGACAATTAGTTGCTGAGGCATTTCCTAAGAGTCTTCACTGCCTAATTCTCAAGCTTTCCGCTGATTGGCTTAAAAGGTTGCCCTTTCAAGACCTCGCAAATGAGCGGAGAAACTCTCCTCGACTCGTGGACAACAATCTTTATCATTTCTGCGTATTTTCGGACAATGTCCTTGCTACCTCAGTTGTCGTCAATTCTACGATTTCCAATGCCGATCATTCTAAACAGATGGTTTTCCACATTATCACTAATTGGGTTACCTATGGAGCTATGCAAGCTTGGTTCCTTAGTAATGACTTCAAGGGGGCCATGATAGAGGTGCAGAACATCGAGGAGTTTGCTTGGTTGAATGTTTCTTATGCTCCCATTGTAAAGCAGCTACTTGATGCAGATTCTCGGACCTATTATTTTGGGGAAAATCCAGATGTTGAGCCGAGATTGCGGAACCCTAAATATATTGCCTTGTTGAATCACCTTCGGTTTTACATACCAGAGATCTATCCACAACTTGAGAAAATAGTATTCCTCGATGATGATGTTGTTGTGCAGAAGGATCTAACGCCGCTTTTCTCATTGGATTTGCATGGGAATGTAAACGGGGTGGTGGAGACTTGTCTTGAAGCATATCATCGTTATTACAAGTATCTGAATTTCTCAAATCCGATCATCAGCTCAAAATTTGATCCACAAGCATGTGGATGGGCATTTGGCATGAATGTTTTCGATCTAGTTGCCTGGAGGAAAGCGAACGTCACTGCAAGATACCATTACTGGCAGGAGCAAAACGCCAATAAGACACTCTGGAAACTCGGAACTCTTCCAGTCGGTCTTTTAGCTTTTTATGGGCTGACAGAACCACTTGATCGGAGATGGCATGTGTTAGGATTAGGTTACGATCTTAACATTGACAACCGCCTGATCGAGAGCGCAGCAGTCATTCACTTCAATGGGAACATGAAGCCATGGCTAAAACTGGCAATCGGAAGGTATAAGCATCTATGGGATAGGTACATAAATCTTAGCCACCCATATATCCAAGGTTGCGCCACAAGTTAGGAAAAAACATGCTCGTTTTTGGTTCCGCTTGTAGTTTATGCGACCTCCGACGATATGAACCCATTGAAAGGCCAATCGCGGCAAGGGCGGTGGTGGAATTTTTTGACATTGTTAGGAGATTTGACATATCTTTTTTGTTGTTCATCACAGTATGTTGAAAGGATAAAAGGAATGATTTTCTTATGCATCAGAAAGGTGAAAGATTTGTGGGAAAATTCATTTTTGGTTGATGGGGTCTTGTTTGATCTCCTCAAGCAAGAAAATTTTCAGAAATTTATTATTATTTTTTTTTACAAATTATTGTAATAATCTATTTGATCTTCTTTGGACATCATTTATATATTTATTGTAAGCTGAATCTCCCTGTAATTCTCATCTTTAAATCGAAGAAATATGTTTAATCTCATGTCATATTGACCATTGAGCTAAACACAATTCGTATGATTTTCTTATATCGACCATTGTAATCTCATTGTTTAGATAATTTTTTAATTGATTTATTGTCTTTTATTTGTAATATTAAACTTAATAAACAGTTTAATAATATTAAAGGTAAACTATACAAATGTTCACTAATGTTTGAGTAAATTTTCATTTTTACCATTGAAGTTTCAAAAGTAAAAAATTGGTCACTGGTGTTGTCGATTTATAACAAATCGTCTCACTGTTAACATACGTCACTAAGGTAACAGAATGGTGACATGGAGCTTTAAATCTACTGACTTGGCTGTCCAACGGTCAAAACTCGGTCAAAAGGTGCATGTATGAAAAATAATCAGTTGAAATTTGGTTCTATAACACATTTATTCCGTCAGATTTTAACTCGACGAGATCAAAGCTGCTACCGATAACTTCGATTCCAATTTGGTTCTTGGTAAAGGTGGTAGTGGCATTGTATACAAAGGAATTTTCAACTATGGGGCCTCGGTTCCCTCTGTGAAACGCTTGATGTGATTGTCAAGACTTAAAGACTTGGGAAATGAAGTGCATCTACTTTGCCAGCTGCAACAACATCTTGTTTCTCTCATTGGATTCTGATACAGGAGACGAGAAGATCGTGGTGGTCGATTACATGATCCAGGGATTGCTCTTCGATCATCTCCACGATATTCGCCAAGAATCAAGATCCCCTCACTTGGAAACAGAGGTTAGAGATTTGCATTGGGGCAGCTCGTGGATTGCATTATCTTCTTGCAGGAGCAAAGCGAGCAGTGATCCACCGTGACATAGAATCCAACAACATTATGTTAGAAGACCAAATGGCTTCAAAGATTGCCGATTTCTTGTTCGTTTAGTTTATCGAATCTCCTGATCGAAATAGAGTTGCCTCCTCTCGAAGACGTAGATGTGGAAACAAGTCGAACAAGGATATCTGATACTTTGGGTTATTTGGCTCCTGAGTTCTTGACTGAAGCTACACCTGCACTCGTGATAGACAAATCAAATGTTTTATCCTTTGGGGTTGTTTTGTTCGAAGTACTTTATGGTAGAAAAGTAATAAAGTTTGACGTGAAAGAATTTTGCTACCCGATATATAATTCCTTGGGTTAAAGAACACATGAAGATTGAGACTGTTTATTAGATCATCGACCCATTTTTGAAAGGGAAAATAGCTTCGACTTGCTTAGAGAAATTCCTGGAGATTGCTTTCAGTGGCATCCATGTTCGGGAGCATAAACTACCTGCTGTCGGTGAAGTAGAGGCGACATTTTAGCTTGCTTTGGAGGTGATCATTCATGTTAGGCAGGAACATCGTTGACCATGTTTGTTCTTGTTGTATTAAATGTTTTCCCTTTCACTCTGAGATACATTATCCTCGTCGCCGGAATGACGGTCGGACTATGACAGTAACTGCAGTTACCATGAAAAGACTTCGAGATGATATCAAGATACAACTGAACCTTGTAAGTTCCAAGTTTCAACTTTCATTGTACTAAGCACCTGTCAATAATTTTTTGCAACATTACATCTACTTGTCAGTTGGTACCAAGTTACCATGAAACATTTTCTTTCGCTTTTTCGCAGGTGGAGACGGCGTTGACGCTTAGGGCGACTCCGCGTCAAGCAACACTAGAACAATTGATAAGGTATCCAGTGATTGCACTGTCTCCGGTGTTGGACAATGCCAAAACAGTGGGTCCAATCTCGTTTCCGGGAAGAAATGGTGGTAGCGACTTGAAGGAGAATTGGCGATTATTATGGGAGAAAAAAACTTAAGAAAAAGTGAAGCTTCAAGGGTTTTTTTTGTTTTTTTTTTCTGGATAAGAAAAGAAAATGGAGAAAAAATTTGGAAGATACCATTTTCAACTGCTCTCTTTCATACATGGGCCTTTTGACCGATATGTTTTGACCGTTGACAGCCAAGTCAGTTGACTTAACGTTACATGTCAGCATTATGTTACCTTAGTAACGTCTGTTATATGCAAATGATCGATTTATTATAAATCAACAATATTAATAATCAATTTTTTATTTTTGAAATTTTAGTGGAAAAAATAAAAATTTATTCAAACATTAGTGACCATTTATGTAGGTTACCCTAATATTAATATTAATAACTAATCATGTTAAGATAATAACTAACCACGTTTATTACCTACTCAAGTCGGCAGAAATTTTCGGCACTAGCAGTTTGTTAAGATAATATTTTCATGATCAATTTGACATTTTTAAACAATTTAATATTATATTATATAACACCTCGCTAAACTCCAACAACATTATTTTCCATCTTCAATTTAAGAGCTCAAATTTCAATGTACTTGGATTAATTCGTCAATTTTGAAATTAATAGACATGCATATTGATACATGCATGTGTTATAAACCTTTAACACGAGACGATTACATACTGGAAAAATATCAAAAACCAAACACAAATAAGAACATAGATAATGTGTGTGTGTGCATACATATATATATAAGAAAAATATAAAAATCTAATGCAACTAACTTTATAGAAGCAAAATACTTAATCGAATTCACTGTAAGAAACCTATGATAATTAGCATTGGGTGTCACTGTCTAATGCATGTATTTGTCCGGCACGGTTATATTCAGTTTCTCAAAGTTTTTCATTGATGTAAAGGATCATGTCTATATCCTTGTCTGAATATGCATCGGATGTGGTTTCTTCAAGAAAAATGAAGAATCAGAGCAGCATAGCTGAGAGTTGAATGCTGCTTTTTCTCATTAGTTACTGACAAGTAAGCAGAAGCTATGTTACTTTGACTCTTCATTTTCTCAAAGTACTCATGTCTTAAACATGTCCGATGTTTATTCAAACATGGGTTCCCAGAAGAAATTTCATTTGTCCTTTATTTTGGCACGTCACAGTCACTTCACAAGTTACTGCTATCATACCCTTGTTTCTCTGCTGAATTCACTTCATTAATTTAACTTTGAGGACTACTTTTTCCTATAGGCTACAGTTATTCATTTTTGTTCAAGTACCCGTGCTTGACGCATATATGAACATAGGTATATGGATACAGATTGGCCCTTTACATGGAAAAAATTGAACATGCCCATATCTTACACTCACATCCGAATTCAAGTAGCACAAATTTGAAGTAATATTCAATTTTCTTAATTTATGAGTGTGGTAACATCAAGCAATAAAAAATGTTTACAACAACAACAACAAAACCCTATTCTCATATGTAATTGGGTAAGAGGAGATAGGGTAGTAGGCTGCCCCCAACGCCAGGTTGAGAGCAGCTTCCGTGAAAGACCTCCGACAGTCAGAAAATTAAAAAAAAATATAAAATACAATGCATGTATAAATAAATAAATACATAGTTGAACAGTTTTCATATGTAATCTACCTATACGCGTCTATAATGGGAAATAATCCCTACAAATAAATCCATGCGTAAAAATTTTTGCATATAGACAGAAACGTAAGTCCATGCTAAATTTAAAAAGAAGAAACATAATAAATAAAAAAATTTATGGATGTCAAAACCCTCGGGTTTTTTGTGGGGGGTGGGGGATCAATTAAATCTTTGATTTTTTACACCTAATTAAGCCTTTGTATTTTAAATTTTTACTAACTCATCCTTTTACCAATATTAACGGTTAAATCTAACAAATTTTTTGAATAAGTTACTGTAACATGTCTCATCATAATGTTCTCAAGTGATATTCTCATAAATTTCTTTAGAAATTTAAACTTCTTTTTTTAAAAATTTGATAAAGAAAATCTATAAATTTTAGATGACATAACTATGTGATAGTAATATCTCATAAAATTATTAAGTTTTAACGGTTAAAATCTATCAAGTCTTAATGTATTTAGTTTCTCTGTTTGAATGCTTAATTGATTTAATTTTAAATTTAAGAGTTTAATTAGATATAAATGAATTAAGACTTTAGTTGATTTTTTTAAAGTTTGAGGGCTTCGTATATCTTTCAATCTAATAAAAATTACACAGATACAACATTAATAGACGAATATTTCAAATTCTATTTAATATGAATTAATGATACATCAATATTACATAAATATAAAACCTTTGTTGGTCTTCTCTTTCAATTATGAAACCCTAAAGCTAAAGAGAAAAATATTTATGAAATTTTATCGTTAGAGTACATCAAAGGATCATTAAAGCAAATTAGAGTGCAATTAACTGAAACTCCAGAAAAATGAAACCTTAGTATGTTTGGGTTAAGCATAGGTAATTGTCAGCCGGAAAAGTTTGACTTGGCTCCGGCCCCCCTATGCCTCTATCAGCGGCGGTATTTTATGGTCCAGTAGTGGTCCAGCCTCATGCCTTGAGAATTGAGTCCCTTCCTAATAGGCCAAGTCGATGATTGATGGCAACCCCCACCCCCCTAAATTTAGATTTTGTAGCCAAGGCAATCTCCTCTTTGGTTGTACCTTAAGGTGTGTTTGGTTAGGTGAATGTGAGATTTACATGAGAACGAAATTTATATTTTCCCGTTTAGTTGGTTAGAAATATTATTCCCGGTAATCTTATATTATTAATAGTATATTTTATGGGTATATTACCGGGAATATCATTACCTTCATTTCCTTAGGTATTTTTGGATTACCGGCGTTTTGGACTAAAATGCCCTTAAAAAAATTCTTTAAAAAATATTATTATTCTGTCGTTGAATAATAAAAATTCTACGAAAGTTAAATTATAAATTTATCCTTAAACTATTTTAGATTTACAAAAAAAAATCTATAATTAAAATTTTATATGAAGTTCAGGGGTAAAATAAAATTTTACCATTCCATTAAACCTTTTTTATATTTTCAATTTTGTAAAAAAAAATTATATAAATTTTATGAATTTATTTTTTTTAAAGAAAATATATAAATATTTTTCAACTTGTTAGAAAACAAATATATAATAAGGACAATTTGGTCAAATATACATTCCAATAATCTTTTATTCCTTTAACCAAACACGGTAATCTTACATTCCTGCTAGACCAATCAAACACAAAATACAACATTCTCAGTAATCCTATTCCCTGATAATCTTTTATTCCCACTGGTAATCTTATATTCCGTGAACCAAACACACCCTATATCTATATTCCTTGGATTATAGTATGTGTGTGGAAATTGAATTGTTTAAGAGTCGAATTATGTTTTTTAAATATATATATATACACATATATGAAATCATCAATTGATTTCAATAATAAAAGGGAATGTTATTCTCTCTAAATTTTTTAAATTCGAACAGTTACGTTTATAGGATGATGATATGTATGCATTATTAATTGATTAAAAAATTTTAAACAAATATTTTATTATAATCACTATAAATTATTCAAAAAAAATCAAAATTTATAACGAGTCTAGAAAATAATTTTTTTTATCAAATCATAAATTAATTGTCAAAACTCCATGAAGAGGGGACGCCTCTAAAGCTTAAACCTGACAATACAAAAGGCAAATTGGACAAATCGACTATATCAAAACTCACCTAATTTAACACCCCCTCCCCCAAGTGTTATATCCTACCCTATAATTTAAGGCTTCAAATATGTGTTGAGTGCAATAATAAAATATCCTTTTATAAATACAATTTAACTCGAATCTGATAAGTTTTTATTCGTATTTTATGGTTTCTTTTTTTAGTTTGAATTTGTGTCAAGTCGAGCCAAATTCGAATTTATGATAAAAATATTTGACTCGACTCGTGAAAAGAATATAATATATTTAGATATAATGGTTATAGTATTTCTATCTTTACATTTTGTAATTAGACTTTTATTTTATTAAATAAAAATGTATATTATTTATTTTCGGATCATTTTTATCTCAAATTTTAGGTCTGTGAATTTTCTTTAAATTTGAATCAGACCGAATGTCGAGTGTAGAGTATAGTACTAGAGCCGAATTTAGATTAGTAAGAATTTCGACATGACTCGATCCATTGTCATTTCTAAGTATATTATATTTTTCAAAGAAATTTTTTTGATTCGGATCTTAACAGACAATTTTGTTAGCAATGATCATAAATTAAATATGAAAGACAAAACTGATATTCTGCCATTTCGTTTTAATTTCATTGAATTATTTTTTAATTTATGCATATTATTACTTATTTTTAGATATTAAACATATGAACTACTAATCAAAGCAATAATAGCAATTCAAAGGTAGAAAAATAAAATAGGTGCTTAAAATATCAAAGGAAAATGGTGGGGATTAACTCGCCACCATCATAGTTCAAAATCAGAAATGACTCGTATGGGGCGGTGAGACTTGACCCCATAGATCACGTGCCTTTTGGACCCACCCCATCACCACCCTACTTGTAACCACCGGCACCACCCACCTAAATTGGACCCCAAGTGCCACATCATCATCGTTATTGAAATTAAATATGATAATTTATATTTTATTTTTAATTTATTTTACGCTATAATGATATTTAAATAATATTTATTAATAATTTGGGTCATATAGTTCGACACATTCATTCAAAATATTATTTAACATTTTATTTTATTCTTATTTTTAAAAATTAGTTATTAACATGAACTAAACAACTTTCGTAGTTAAATTTTTTTGTTATTTCTTAAGATTTCATATTTCAACATTCCGTATGTATAAGTGTATTAACGTTCAATGTCAAATGATTAAGAATCACTGAATAAATACTACTTTATATTCATTTCAAACTAATAAAAAATAGTTATTATCTATTGAATTTTGAAGTTTTGTGACTTTTTTCTATCTAGGTTGTAATTACAAGCAAAGATGAAGTATTCTGGAATTAATTTATGGGAGTTAAGTTTTTATTTCATTTTTAAATAGAAAAAATTTCGTAATCGAAGTGTTTATGATATTATTTTTAAAATTTTAAAAAAAATAAATCATTTTATTAATATGATACGTCGTCAAATTAATAATATCTAACTTCTTAATGATTAAAATGTTATAAATTTATAACGAAATTGATCAAAATGATATTTGTTAAATTTAATGATCAAATTATAACATCTATGAAATAAAAAATGACCATTTGGCTCGATTCTACGTGGTCACCGTCCGTACATGTCCGTAAAGAAAATACTTAAATCACTGTATTTGTGATAAACTACATCATATAACACGGGACTCCAGGTGATATATTATTATATTATTAAATTTTTATTTTTTAATTAATATTAAATTTAGATTGTGACTTTAATTATGTTATAAAACTGTTAAATTTTAATAATACGATAATGGGAGTATATCTTTTTATCGTTGCGATGCTATGAATAAATTGATATTATTTTGGCGATGATTAGATATTCAAAATGACAATTTTTAAGTATTAAAATTTAGGGTGTATCAATTTTATAACTAAACTTTTAAATATTTCATTTTTTTAACTACGTCTGTCATCAATTGTTTTTCGTAATAGGATCAACATCAAAAATTCACATTTTCACTATGATTTCTTCTCATATAATTATTTTTTTTATAAAAAGTTAAATGTAATATTTCTAATAACATATTAATTAATATTATATTTCAAAATTAGTTTTATATTTTATGAATCAAAGTTTCTAATTATTATAATAAAAATACCGATTAAACGAATTAATTTTCATCGACAATTTTGATTTGCTTGATTCAAGATACATAATACACGAAAACATTACCAAGAATAAAGAAGAAACAAAACTTGAGAGAGTAGCATAAAAAGGACAAGACTAACATGAAAGTTGGTTGCGCATGAACATCCGGAAGATCAAACGGAACACCTTCAAAATCATCAAAAATAAAAACATAAAATATTAAAAAAGAAATTATTACACAAAAAAGCAGTCGTCAAATTGAAAATTCTCTTCAGATTCTTAAAAACGCTTTGAAGTTTTCTTTAATTTTTTAATTTTTAGTTAATAGATTATATTTGAAGGGGAAAAAAGAGTGAGTGATTATTTACGGTGGATAAAGAGTTGGATGATCTTGATCAGTTCACTGATTTTGGCTCCGATATGTTTGATCAACGGCGTTCGAATGATCAAACAATCCTTGATCTCCAGTTCCTTCCCAATCCAAAGGCTGAAATCCATCCTCCAATCTTCTATCAAAATTTGATTGCTCAACCTGCGCCGTCTGATCAAGCCATCCCCCGGTGATTTCCTCCCCTCCCATGCTCATCTTCTTTTGATGATGCTGCCACAGCCCTGGCCTATTTAATACAGTGCCGAAATCAAAGGACAACGTTTCATTGTTTGATGGAGTAGTAATCAAGCTGGTTAAACTACCAATCTCCGAGAAAATCCCGCCGTCCGATCCTTGTTCCAGCAATCCTGGATCGAATCCTAAATTATTAGGATTTCCATAAAACGTAGAATGAGATGTAATCGCCGACACCGCCTCCGCTGTCCCGCCTGAAGAACTGTATATGTTTCTGTTTATGTTATCACTGTTCGTCACCGCGACATTCAATTTGCTGCATAAGACTCGAACTCTCGCTGCTAGAGTGAGATTTCACTTTACGTTTTATAACGGTGGCTTTTGCAGCTGTCCTGGATCGAATCCTAAATTATTAGGATTTCCATAAAACGTAGAATGAGATGTAATCGCCGACACCGCCTCCGCTGTCCCGCCTGAAGAACTGTATATGTTTCTGTTTATGTTATCACTGTTCGTCACCGCGACATTACAATTTGCTGCATTAAGACTCGAACTCTCGCTGCTAGAGTGAGATTTCACTTTACGTTTATAACGGTGTTGCTTTTGCAGCTGCTGTCGTTCTGGATGTGGCGGTGAAGATACGGCGGACGCGGATAACGTGGTTTCGGACGAAGGTTTGATTTTACTTTTCGACCTTTTGGCTTTGCGGCAACCACCGCCTACGGGGACGTTACGGAGGACGCCTCCTTTTGTCCAGTAACGACGGCAGCCCTTGCAGAAATAACGCGGCTGAGAGAGGTTGTAATTGTTGTAGTAGCAGAACTTTGTGTTGAGAGAGTCGCAGCGGGGACACTTAAGTGCTTGGTTGTTTTGGTGGTGGTGTTGTCGTAACCTCCTGTCTCCACCTTCTCCCCCTCCTCCTCCGTTAAATATACGGCCACCATCAATCAAGTGGATGTCTTGCATTTACCAAAATTTTTGCTACAAAATTATATTAAGAAAAGGAGGGAATTCGTTAGAAAATGGGGAAAAGGAAAGAGAAAGGCAGAGCAGAAAATTTCGAAGTCGGGAATATCCATTTTCATATCTTCTAGTATATCAAATTAACTCGCAATGACCAAATCAACCCTATAGAGTAATGAAATTATGCAAATATTGGTATAGAGTAGGAGTACGATATTAACCTTGAGAAAATGAGTTGGGTATGTGAGGACGATATAGGATTGTAGGGAGGGATCTGGAAATTGGACGAATGTACGGCTATATAGATAAGGGATACGTGGAGGGCATTGATTCCTTCACAATCAGGTTCTCGTTATCGAGTTGTCTGCCACCCCCGGTTTATTTTCTGCTGAACTGGAGTATCTTAGTGTTGCATGATACTGTAATGATTATTTTACAATATTATTTTTAACAACAATAATAATTAAATAATTTTTAGAAAAATAATATAAATTATGATTATCGAATATTTCACTATTTCAATAACTAAAAACTTTTAATTCTGAGACAAATCTATTTTACCAAACTAAAGGCAAAGTGTTATTAATTAAATTTTTTATAATGTTATGGATTAAAATATTACTTTTATCAAATTAAAGGGTAAAGCCTTGCCGTTCACTTAGTGTGGTCTTAAACATGTGATAATCTCTAATTTGAAAATAAGTACTATTGATTATTCAGATATTATATCAAAAAATGAAATAATTTATTTACTTTGTAGGTAATTTTTTTTATTGATATATAAATTCATTACTAGAAGAATTGATTAAAACGATCTTAATCATAATAGAATTATAAAAAAGTATATATATTATCAAAATCAAAATTTAAATTTGATTGAACGGTAAATTATATAATTTGGGTGAAATGATAATGATTTTTTTATTAACTGTCATATGTTTGATGTTCATTCTATGATAAAAATTTTATTTTGTACGAATCTACATAATCAAAAGGATTAATTTTATTTTCCCCGAACCCGACCCGTTTAATTCGATTTTCGATTTTCCCCGTCGAGTTCGGGTTTTTTTGCCATCCCTACCTCCGTCCATAACTATCAGTTTTGATAATACTTACATGGATGTATTTAGTTATTTATAAATTTATTTCACTTAACCGTAGTTAGTCTTTTTTTTATTTTTTATTTTTATGATAGATGACGACATTAATATTGGTGATGATCGCTGATCACCGATATTAATTGTGTTTCTTTATTTTACTATAACGTATCTTTATTTTCTTCTTATTTTTTATTTCTAATAATTCTTCCTTTATAACATGTATGCTTCTATCTTTATGACACATTTTTCTCTACATTTATTGTATGTTTTCGGTTGTTTGTCCATTGTTTCATTTATCCTTTTTTATAGGATTTGATTTGAATCAAATCTGTTGTTTACCTAATGTTCAGATCAAGTGTCTCAGTTTTCTCGAATTATATGGTCTTCGTACTTGTTTTGGACAAGTTTGCTTGAAATTCGATATATTCTTTCAGTTGCTTTTTTCATATGGTATTCACTTATATGCAGATAAATTGTTGTCTTTACATGCATTCTTATTTTTCATTCAAGTTTTAGGGATCACTGGTACGTGCTGGAATCCTAAACTGATATAATGTTTGTATTTGTTGACTATAGGGGTTTATAAGAACAATGGATACCTGATGGTGTCATGTAATGGAGGTCTCAATCAAATGCGAGCAGCAGTGAGTGCTCTAACAACTGACACTAAATATGGGGTTTTCCCCTTTTAATTTCTTTCTAGATTGTCCAAGTTCATCAGTTGTTTTTGTGGTGTAAATCTATGTGGAAATTGATGTCACGGTCTTTTGTTTTTTTGGGATTTGCTTGACAGATTTGTGACATGGTTACCATTGCAAGATATTTGAATGTCACGCTTATAGTCCCGGAGCTGGATAACATGCCAGTGAATTTCAGGATATATTTGATGTGAATCATTTCATTACATCACTGAGAGATGAGGTTCGAATATTGAAGGAGTTGCCTCCTAGGCTTAAGAGGAGAGTGGAAATGGGGATTGTGTACTCAATGCCGCCAATTAGCTGGTCGGATATGTCCTACTATCATAACCAGGTTAATTCTTTGTCATTTCTTCAGCGAACGTAGCTTGGTTCTTTTTTCCCTTCTTTAAATGTTCTTATATTTTCCCAGTCTTTTACTTCCTATTATGACTCCTAAATTCGTATGCATCTATTTGGGCAGATTCTTCCTCCGATACGGAAGTAAAGTACATTGAATAGAACGGATGCTCGACTTGCCCACAATGGACAGACTTTAGATGTTCAGAAGCTGCGATGTCATGTAAATTTTAATGCTTTAAGATTCACTTCTCAGATTGAGGAGTTAGGTAAACGAGTTGTTAAGCTTTTGAGGCAAATGGACCTTCACAGTACTTCACCTTCGATATGAAATGGATATGTTAGCATTTTCTGGCTGTACCCAAGGTTGCAATGATGAAGAGGTGGACGAGTTGACAAGAATGAGGTGAGCTGTTCATGCATCTTTGACAATTTACTGACCCAGAGGCCTAAATTTAAACTTTAATCTCACTCATCTCACGGCCACTTTGGCAGATATGCGTATCCCTGGTGGAAAGAAAATAATAATTTCGGACTTGAAAAGGAAAGATGGTATGTGCCCCTTGACGCCTGAGTAAACCGCCCTTATTTTGAGGGCGCTGGACATTGATAATAGTTACCAAATCTATATTGCAGCAGGTGAAATATACGGTGGAAGGAGGAGATTTGCAGATCTTGCTGCTGCTTATTTAAAATTGGTACATAACTAGAAATTCAGAAAACTCACTTGTTTTTCCTGGTCACCTATTAATAATTGGCCTTTTGTTTGTTAAAACAGGTTAGAAAAGAGACTCTGTTGGAGCCGTCGGACCTTGGTTTTTTTCAAAATCATTCATCCCAGATGGCTGCATTAGATTATCTTGTTTCATTGGAGAGTGATATTTTTATTCCTACGTATGATGGAAACATGGCTAAAGTTGTTCAAGGCCATCGCAGGTACTGCTTTGCTCTTAATATGTTCAGAAAGGTTTTCTTGCAGTTGTTAAATGATTCGATGCTCATTTGTTTGTCAAATGAGATGAGTAATTTTGAAAATTCAACTTCAACTGCATTTGAATATATCAACTTTTATCTCTAGCATTAGAAAGGGATAATAGTTTGTTTCTAGCTCGAAATCATAGCCAAAATTTTTTGTTCTTTTTCTGCCTATTTTGTTCTTAGCTTTATGAATATGCCATTGTTTGTGTCTGAAATCGTGGAAGCACGAACTGTGACTACCCACTTTTAAGAATGCTTTTTCTACGGTCTTTCCCCTCGAATGATTATAGTTCTAGAGTATGTTCATAGTTGAAGCTATTTTCCAATACAGTCAACTAAGTAGCTCGTGATCTTTCTCTCGTGGGATTTATAATAAAAAAGAAGAGTACTTGTATGCGAATCTAGAAGAATGCTTGTGACAACTATACGGTCAACTAAGTAGCTGGTGATCTCTCTCTCGGGGGAATACGTTACATTTACGGGTGTTTTCTTTTTCTAGAGTGCATAATACCTGAAACTTAAAGGTAGTTTCTCCCACAGAAATGAAATTAATGAAGGTTTTCCTTCAAAGGAAGCAGTTGTGGAGAAGACGGGGGCCAAGAGCTCGAAGAAACCCCGAGAGGACTTTTCGAAGCTGATGGAGGACACAGATTTTAGGTATACGAAAATAATCCTAAGCGTGTATAGAAGAGCTGCAGTGCCATTATAGGGTAATATCAGCAGCAGATCAAAAGGTACTTCTACACAAGAATGCAAGTATATTTTCGGAGACTCTGGATTCATGGAAGGTTAGTCCCTTATCCTCCATCTTTCATTACCAAGGTTTTTTTTCCAAACGTTCTAGCATCTATATGTACATGTGTCTATATATGGGATAAAATCTATCTACAAGGTAAAATTCATTAGTTTTACATAAAACTATAGTTATGGGATAAATCTAAATTAATGGTTGAGGCTAAAATAAAATTCTATTTTACCTTCTAATGTAACAAATTTTAACCTCAATTATCCATTCAGATTCTTGTAATAATTATATTTTCATATAATATTAATGATTCTTACACGGTGCAAGTGGATCTTTTGTGTGTTAGTGAATGATGTGTTATTATTTACATTAATTGTAGTATTACAATTTGAAATCAAAACCAGGATTATTTGTCGAATGCCTTATCTTTAATGTAAAAGTGTTCATATTTAATAATTCAAAAATAAATAAATATTTGAATTTATTATTAGTATGTAACATAATTGTTGGAAGATCAAACCATAATTGCTTATGTACCGAAGTAAAACAAAGAATGGTAAGAGGAAAACTTGTTTTGTCCTAACCGGATATTGCTGAGAATATTTAGCTTGCAAACATAAATTTACATATTTTATATAAATTTGATTATAAAATATATAAATATCATTATACATATTTTTTTAATGTTTCATTATTTATTTATTGAATTTAATTTGATCAGTATTGTTGTTGGTATAATATAAGATTTATAAATAAAAAAATCTACAAACGCTTGTCAAGGATAGATGGGCATGGTTAACGATGAGTATCATTAAATTAATTTATAAAACGTTAAATTTTAGGGTAAATTATACCATTGACCACTTAACTATTTACACATTTTATTTTAATCACCGATTTTTCAATTTTATCAACCGAGTCACTTAACTATTTAAATCTTGTCAATCAAGCCACATGTCGTTAAATATTAACGGAGGAGATGATGTGGCAGTTAACAAAATTTATATAATTACACACTTAGTCCTCATTAATTACGTATTCTATTAATTTGGTCTTAATTTTAAATTAAATAAATAAATTTAATCCTCAATCATATGGTGACATGTATTACTATGAGATTAGATGTTTTTTCTTAATATTTTTTATTTAATTTAATAAAAAAAATTATCCAATCAAATGATGTCAAGTGTCACCAATTAAATGAATAAAAAATAAATTAATTTAATAATCTA